TAGCTTTTCCTATTGAAAGCCAATTTCAATCATTCAACACTAAAAAAACTCAATTTCAACACAAAAGCCTTCAATAATGCAAGCACAGCAGAAATAGACAATACCCCCTACAACCCAACGAATTCAAGCAAAGGGAAAAAATTCATAATTTTTCACAAGAATGAGCAGTACATTGCAATTTTGCCAAAAACCAATCAAACCCAATTCAAATTCCATCCTCATGGAAATACAATAGTAGACAGCTATTGTAACTATCAGAACAGAACCAAGAAGGAAAAAAAGAAAAAGAATCTTCTTTTGGTGGACCCAATAGAGATCCAAAAAAGGAAGAAAGAAAAAAAAATCTCACCTTCTTTCTTTCTTCTTTTCTTCTAAGCAACCAAAGATTGCTCCCAAAAAAGAAAGAAGAGATCTTTCAAGCAGTTAACCCCACCAAAGACCCCTCCCTTTCTCTTTCTCTCCAACTCTTCTTCAAAGTAGAAAAGGAAAGAAAAGAAAAAAACGAACCTTGTGATCCAATCCAGATTAGACAAACTGAAGAACATGCATGTGATTGTGTGAAACAAAATAATAATAATAATAATAATAATAACTTAAAAAAAAAAAAAAAAACCCAGGTGGGGAATCTGGTGAATAAGTGAAGAAAAAAATGATGGGCAAAGAATCAAAGAAAAGAATAGCTATACAAAAAACTAAACAAAATCCCAGCTTTGAAGAAAACCCAACCAAAAAAAAAAAAAGAGAAGTATTTATAAAAAAAAAAAAAAAAACAAAGACCGAAAGGAAAAGTACCAACAGTTACTCCTTTTTGTACAAAGTTGAAGAAGGATTTTAAAAATGTGAAATTTTGAAAATGGGATTTTTGTGAACGTGGGTTTTGTAGTTTGGGGTAGGAGGGAGAAATAGGAAAGAGAAAAGAAATTTTTCAATTTTTGTTTTTCTTTTTAATGATTATTTGGTTTTGTTTTATTTAATTTTTAACCTTTTTCTCAAAAGATAAGGAGAGTCACAGAAAGAGAGCGGGTCGTCCAATGTGGCAGGGGCTGGCATATGAGCCAGGAAAAGGGCAACTTGCTTTCTTATTTCCTTTTTTATTTTTTAAATAATAGTGATAATTAAATGATTGGTTAGTGAAAAATATTTAGCAATAAATATTTTATGGCAAACGGTTAATTAATTCAGAAACTGCCAAATTAGGAGAAGTTATGAATGTTTTGAAATTGATTAGCCCACTGGCAGCTACTGCTTTCAAATAGTAGTTAGCAGCCTCGTAGTCCTGCAGAGCACGTTGGCTTATTATCAGAGTTTTTAACCGCACCCATCAATATGGGGTCCGTTTGGATGTATTGTTTTCAAAGAAACAATTTTAAAATTTATTAAAAATATATCATTTATAATTATTAAATCATAATTAATTAATTATAATTTAAAATGATGTAAAATTTGGCATAAAATTCATATTATAATTAATGAGTCTTTTATATATTTTATTATTGTGATTGAATAATTATATTATTATAAATAAAAGTTTGCAAGCAAAATGCTTTTAAATATATTAAATAGAATTGACAAAATAAAATGTAATTTGATATCCACAAATATTAATACACTTAGTAAGGGAGAGTTTATTTTTCTTTGTCCTTAAAAAGAATTCATAAGATTGGTGGAGAAAAAAATAAATTTAAACAAATTAAAAATAAAAAATCTCGATCATACATTTATTTAAGAAGATATTGATCTTATTGCACTTATGCTCTAAAACAGCATTTTATCCAAATGGATTATAATAACTCAATTTTATAAGGTGATCAATGTCGCTTCTATTTATATTTGATAATTTATATATTTATATTATGTAAAATATTAAAATTTATATATTTTTATTATATTTTATATCAAAATTATGTATCATAATTTATATTAATAAAAAATAAAATATAATTTTTTTTATTTTATTAAATACATATATAATTATTATTGTAATTATAAGTGATATTATTTTTATATTTTATATTTACATCGTATTTTAAATTATCATATTTATTTTTATCGTACTAATGCTCAAAATGACTTTGGATTGCTGCCACTTTAGGACATCAATGCGTTATATGTTGCCCTCTTGTGCTTAATTTGATTTAAAGCATTATATTGAAATTTTTATCTTCCTTCTTTTTATTTTTTCATCAAAAGAAATTTGCAGGATAAAATTTTTTTAATTTACTTTATAAAAGGTAAGAATAAAAATAATGAGATTCAATTTTTTATTTTACATATTTTCTCAAACTTTTTTAATTGCTAAATTAAAAACTAAAGACATATAATTTAGCAAAGACTAGCACACTACTTTTTGCAACCATTTTAGAATTTGTACTCAATCGCCAAATACGATGACGATGATGATGATGGCAAAATGCTAACAAAATAGACACTTTTTTAGCATGAAAAATCATAGCTAAGACATACTTATACCACTATTGAAAATAGCAAAGTATGATGGCCACTACTGGAGCAATGGATTCCATCATTTTTATCCAACTCTTGTTGCAGGCAACCGGTTGATCAATTTCAATGATTTTGTTTTCCTCGTAAATAATATATTAATACTCACAAATTATTTGAATTTAATTCAAATAAAATTTAAATTCGATTTGATTATTATCAAATTAAATTTAAGTTCAAATAATTTAATTTATTGATCAAATTGAATTTAAATATTTTTATATTTGATTCAAGTAGCTCGTAAACTTAATCAAATTTTTATATTTTAATAAATTTTAATTATTTTAATTAATAAAATACATCTAACTTGAGCTCGAGCTTTAGTACAAATAACTAGCTTTTATCAAATATAAGAATGGAGCTTATTTTTTATATATTAATCAAATTAAATTGAACGAACTTCAATAGCTCAATTTCTATCTCAAGTTAAATTCAAGCTAAAAAATAAAAATTTGATCGAATTTAAGTCAAGTTTCAAATCTCAAATTTCGAATCAAGCTTGAGCTCAAATTTAATATTATATCGACTCAAATTCGATCGATTACACTTTTATCGTGAATATCTTTCTTTTGTTAAACCCCTTTTTAACCATTTTAGTAACCAAACTATTCCGACAATACGCATCAAATAAATTTGTATTTTTTTATAAAAGATATTATAGTTTAAAAATAAAACAGTCTTAAGTATTGATATTTGAATTTTATATTTATTTAATATTATTTTTTAAAAATAATTATATGAATCAATTGAATTAAATCTCTTTAATTGTATATGAGAAATATGGATTCTGTTTGATTTAGTCATGATAAAGAAGACAAATAGAAGTCAATGCTTCTTGGCATTGCAATTTTCCAATTAGATTACAATGGGAAAATTTTTCTATTTATCTAGATCAATAAAAAAATGTATATACTCACAACATTTTCTTTAATTAGTTCGGCAAACTAGAATGACTTTTTTTTTTCAATGAAACCAAACTAGAATTTGTCACCACTAGAGTTTTATGAAAAAAAAAAAGTCATACAAAGGAGAGGAGTAAGGAAATTTTTTGTTTCATGGAATGCTTACTGTGACTCTTTCAAATTTCAATTGAAGCAGTAGAATCTTAGGAACAGATTATGAACATTTTCCCTTTAAGATGCTAGTTTCGTGAATAAAGAGGCCTTTAGTTGCCATCTTTTTTAGCATGCTTCAAGGTAAAAAAGTTATGTTTACTGTAAATTCCTTACGGTAATTACTAAACCCGTAAAAAAAATTAATAAATTTGTCATATCTTTCATAAAGATTGGAAGGGGATATCAACTAATTGAATTTAAAATGTAAAGTAAAAAATCTGGAATACGAAATATTAACACCCAATGAACTCAAAATATAAGCCAATTTGGAACTATTTTTCTTGATTGAATGCTTTAAGATATTTTCAATGCGTGATGAGAAAGATTTATATTACGTCGTAAGTATCATTTCATTGATAGAACCCTAAAAAATTCAATCATTTTCGATATCCATTAACTAAAATTATTTATCATCCATTTAATTTTCCAGAGCATGTCTCCATCATTAAAGAGATAACATTTTCTTTTCTTCCAAACGAGGCATGCACCACTATCTTTATAGTAAGGAGTTGGTTACACCAAATTCTTAAAATTTATTAGGTATGGTACTTAAATTTTAATTACTATTTTAATGTTCACAATTTTTTTGTTAGTTTTTCTTCTTTACTCGTTAGTTAAGCTACTCATAATGATTTTCGTACTTATATTATTATCTATAAGTTTATATTTATATATTATTATATATAAATTTTATACATGATAATTAATCAAATTATATCATCTCATTAAATAGTGAATATTAATTTTTAAAATAAATATATAAAAATTTAATTTTTCAAAAAAAAATTATTTATTAATAAAATGATATTATTTGATTTATTTCATTAATAAAATATCATAATCCGATTAATTGATAATATATAAAATTTATATATTAATAACGTATAAAATATAAATCCCTATAAATATATTAGTGATTGGGAAGGATCCTAGACTCCTAGTCTACATTTGGTGAGTGGGTCCTTTATTAATATTACTTTCTCTTCTAAATTCCTATTCTACTTAGAACGGCTTCCCCACTCTACTCATTCCTATAAATCATGAAAATAGTTTGTTTTAAGATAGAGAAAAAGGGGACTTGGAATGGAGAAAATCACAAACTAAAGTTGTACACTCGAGTGATTTTTATAACCCAATTTTTGTTTGCATTATGCTTTAAATAATTATTTTTTATAAATTTGAGTTTCATTTAATTGATTTATGTAATTATTTTAAAAGATAATATTTGATAAATTTAAATTTTAAATCTTAAATATTTTTAATTTCTTCCCATATTTTCAGATTATAACTTATTTTATAAAATTTTTTTCTATTGTTCTTTCTCCTATGGTAATGTAAATTATAAAGTGAATAAAAAAAGATGTTTTTTTATAACATAGGCAAGACAATGATGAAGTGGGAACTTATTATTGCCACAATAAAAGTTGCTAAATGAATTCTATCGCCGTTAAGCTTCCAGTCCACAACAAACCCACAGCATCAGAGAGTTTGGCTCTCCCACAATAACCATACAAATTCGAAGGAAATGAAAAAAACCCAAATAAACTAAAAAACTAAAATAAAAATGCAGGGCCATTTTAGAGGGGAGAATTTCTTTAAGCAGAGATACTGTGGAGAACTACGGTCTCAACTGTGAGCCCAGGTCCGAAGCCAAACAGGACTCCCCACTCGAGCCCTTCTCCTGTGGTCTGAAGCCCATTTTCTTTCGATTTCCTCCTCATCTCATCCAAAATGAATAAGACACAAGCACTTGACATGTTGCCATACTCCGAAAGAACGTGCCTTGTGGCTCGTAGCTTTTCAGGCTTGAGGGCTAACTTGGCTTCTACCTGGTCCAATATTGCTGGCCCACCAGGGTGTGCAATCCAGAAAAGGGAGTTCCAGTCAGAGATGCCCAAAGGCTGGAATGCCTCAACTAGGCTCTTTTCAACGTTCTTCGAAATAAGCCCCGGAACATCCTTGAGGAGGTGAAATGTAAGCCCAACTTCACGAAGGTGACCATCAATAGCACCATCACTGTCTGGCAAGATTGTTTGGGCCGCTGAGACTAGTTCAAACAATGGCTTCTCGATCTCGGGCACTGGGTCTGCACCAATTATAACAGCAGCAGCACCATCGCCAAACAATGCTTGCCCCACGAGACTATCGAGGTGAGTGTCACTAGGCCCGCGGAAGGTAACGGCAGTAATTTCGGAGCAAACAACGAGGACGCGGGCTCCTTTGTTGTTCTCAGCCAAGTCCTTGGCCACCCGGAGCACTGTGCCACCGGCGAAGCAACCTTGTTGGTACATCATAAGTCGCTTAACCGATGGGCGGAGGCCTAAAAGCTTGGTGAGCTGGTAGTCAGCCCCAGGCATGTCCACACCACTGGTGGTGCAAAAGACAAGGTGGGTGATCTTGGACTTGGGCTGTCCCCATTCCTTAATGGCCCTGGTGGCTGCTTCTTTGCCTAGTTTTGGAACCTCAACCACCACCATGTCCTGCCTGGCATCAAGTGAAGGTGCCATGTATGCACATACATTGGGGTTTTCTTTCAGAATCTCTTCTGTCAGGTACATGTATCGCTTCTTGATCATGGATTTTTCACCTGAAAAGGAAGAAGAAGAAGATTAGTTTACTTGCCATGCCAACAACTTTTTCCAACTTCATTTTTCTGACAATAGAAGAGAATCCAATATACATGGCTGGTCAATGGTTCCCCATTTTGGATACAATTCATTTTTTATCTTTTTTCTGGGTCATAACGCAATCTTTTACTACTTATTACACTTGGATTTTTTTTTTGTTATTAATGCAATGCAATATCCTCCACTCACGCTTTTCATTGGTGACCGCTGTAGTTGCAAGCACAGTCCCATTTTTGTGGGTCTAGTTATTTTTATTGGACTGAAAAGAAAAAAGCTTTTGCATTTTCCATTTTATTTGGTAAATTCAACTTTCGAGTTCAAAAACGTTTTTAATAAAAAAAAATATGGATCTATCACGATTGAATGGAAAGTTTCTAAGTTTTAATTTTAAAAAAATGTGTACAATTTATATTTATGAAATATGTATACATAATCTTGTGCCAACTTTACTTATAAATCCGTTTGCAATAAATTACCAATAAATAGATTTTTTTTTATATAAAAATAGATTCTTTATTCCAAAGCTGACAGCAGTGCAATAGAAAGCTCAATCACCAATTGAAGAGGCAAATTATAATAATTCAGATAAAATATTTTAATTTCTGTCACTTTCTCATAAAAGCACAGCCCCACATTGGTTATTTTTTGTCCGACACACAAAAGTTTCCCAGGGGAAACCAGCATGGGTTTCTAATTTCCACTGCTACTATTACTACTTTGATTTTGCTTTCCATCATCAACCAACGAAGTTTTTCATCCTGTAGTATTTTTTCCCTTAATTTGAAAAAAAATGAAATTTACATACTAATATTGATTGATTAAAAAAAGGTGTAGTATTTTATTTTCTCCATTTTTATAAATTTGTTTTATGCACGTTTTCATGTCTTTCAAAGCACGTGCACCAATAAACAAAAAGAAAGATGCAAAGAGCTGTAAAAGTTGCATAAATCAGACGAATCACGGACTTCATCTATTACTGGTAACTTTTTCCATACAATTTACGATTTTCCTCAAAATATCGTATTATCATTCTTTAATTATCAAGTTAATCTAAAGAGATTCCAACTTCTCATTAAAATGAGAATAATATGAACCATGCACATCCCTCATCTCCATTTTTATTTTCATGCTAAAATCACGCGTGAAAAACCAAATCACCTTAAATTTCAATATAATATTAGCTAAAATTCTAGAACTGAAAGAAAAAAAGAAAAGAAACTTACACATGCGCTTGAATTTCTCTTTCAGCTCAGTTTTGTGCTCACTATTTGTGATACGGAAATAGTAATCAGGGTATGTGCTCTGGTCAACACAATTTGGTGGAGTTGACGTGCCGATCGCCAACACGGTGGCTGGCCCTTCGGCACGTTGAGCCTTACGAACTTTCTCGACGGTCACCATTTTTTTCTCTTCAAAGAAAACAACCCAGCAGCCGATGGCGGAACTGGTGGTGGTGCTGCTGATGGTATTGGACTAGCTACTATGAGTGGTAGAAGGAAGTGTTACAAATTAAGTTTGCAAAGCGTTTGGTGCTATAAATAAGATTAAGAGGCGGGTACCTGAGAATCACGTGCATGAGCCAATGCTATTAGCCTTAAGCCCTCAACCACTTCTTAAGGCTGGCCGCCACGTGACACTTGAGTTTGGTGCATCTATCTCTCCTTCCAACTTTTGACCCTGCCTAATCAAACAATTCATCCACACGAAACATGATTTCCAAAATTTAGGTCTTTTTCACTTACCACATCAAACTTCAATACTACAATTTTCAGCTAAGATACTTACAAATATACTGACTTTATAACAAAACTAAATTAACAATTAATCTAGCTTATTAAGATTAATGACACTTCATATCGATAAGATTTACTCTAAAATATGGAATGATAATTTTAACTTAAAAATAAAGATGCATGTGAACTTGAAATTACAAAGGCAACTTAATTAATTAGCTCATTTTATAGCCTAATGAAATTTATATTGGGAGTAAAAATTATCAAGTATGGTTGTGTTTGATAAACTATTAAAAATTTAAATTTGAATGATTTTATTTTTTTTAGTAAGTCTGGTTAACTTAATGGAATATTCTCAATGTAAAAGCATACAAAATATTAAGTATTTTTTAGCTACTTAATATATTGAGTCAATTTTATTACATTAATCTTATATCCTTTTTTTTAATAATTTATTATTCCCTTTTTAATTTTTACAAGTTGAAAATAAATATGAACTTGTATCTCTCTTTTACAAAAATAAATAAAAAATCTACTGAAGATTTCATTTTCAGTAGTATACCAAATAATTTTATATCATAAACTCAATACTTAAAAACTTTTCATTGCTAAAACTTCAATACTTAATGTTTCATTGTTGAATCTATTCAGCATATTAAACAATACCTAATATTTGGAGGTCGGTCAAGCATTTTACACCATGGCCGAATATGCTCTTGACTTACTTTGAATGTGCTTTTGTTTTAAATCATATAGATGGAAGCTTTGATCTGTTGGTTTATTTGTTTACTACACATTTGATGTTAATTTTGGTAAGTCATTAGTAGTGTTTGGCTTGTGATTATATTTTCATGATTTTTGTAAATTTATGAGTTTGTTACATGTTTGTCAAATGTTCATACATGATTAAAATAATATTTTAACATGGTTTTATGATTGTTTCATGCATATTCTACTTAAATGAGGTGATGAATGTTCGGTGAGACTACCATAGAAACTTTTGGTCAAGTTGGTTACCTTGTTTGGCCGAATATTGCTCTTCATTTTGTGATCACATATTGCTTGATCCCATGTGTTTGATTGTGTTCTTGCTATGTTTTTCAAGTTTTAAGGTGTTGAGTGAAATTTTCTATGAATAAAATGTTGTTTTAGTAGGTTGTTTGGATGATTTTGGTGTTTGTTTGGTTGGCTTTTCCAAAAAAAAAAAAAGTGGTGGAACATCTTCTAAAAGTTTGAAAAATTATTGTGTTTGATACATTTTCCCCTTGATTTTTCATGTATAACATGTCTGTAATTTCATTTTGTAAATATCTTGGTTTGTAATTATTTTTTTCATGTCATACTTTTTGCACATACATTCATTAATAGCATTTTTGTATTTTGCTTTTGTCACATGTCTATTTTCATAAAAACCCAAATTTCTTAAAACCCTAAATCCTAAATTCTAAATCGAGCTCCAAACCCTAAACCAAACCTTAAATCCCAAATCGTAAACCCTAAAACTAACCCTCAAAACCAATCATGCATTTGCATTTCACTTTATCTTGTCATTACATGCTTCTTTATATTGTCATGCATATATACTTTATCATTTATGTCATATTGTCATGCATTCATCATATTTTATTATGTTCATGCATCTTATGCATTTGTTTTCAAAAATTGATTTTCAAAGAAAAATGTTTTAAAATAAGATAATATCTCAAATAAATATAGTCATTAAGATTTGGTTAAAAGACTCTTAGTGATTATTATTTATGAGAGGTGTTATTTTAATTTTATGTGATAATTTGAAAACCTTTAAATTAGAAAAATTTTTGAAACTCTACCTAATTATAGAATAGTGAAAATAAGTGTTTCAATATTTAAGGTATTTTCATTTTGAACCAAAAGTCAAAAAAAGTTTTGTTTTTTTTTTAGAAATTTTTTATTTACTTTTGTTTATTAAAAAAAAAAGATGAAGAGGAATTAATTTTAAACATTAAGTAAAATAGGACTGTTTTAACCAAAATTCAAAAGTATAACATTCAATAAATTGACATCATTTTTTACGGGCTTTGTAGAGATGTTAATCATTCTCGATACGTAATCGACTCCACATCAAAATATGATTTTGCATACCATAAATTTATTTTTTTATAAAACTTTTAAACTCATTTTAAATGCTTTGTTAAAAAGACTAAAAGTTTTGGGTGGCTAATCATATTTTAAAAAAGATTGGGGGTAACTCATTGTTTTGTTTTTATCAAAAATATTTTTAGCCCCCATTTTTTCAAAATTTTCCATTCATTCAACTTTTAAGTCACCCATCTCCTGGTCTCGATACGTCATGACACATATTAAGTCTTGACTTTTAATAAGTAAAAGTACATCATTTGAATGTGATCACAAGTACTTAAATTATTAAAACCATCCTAAGAAAGATAAGAAATTGAACCATATGTTTAAGAAAAAGTTAAAAATTCTCTTAAGAATCCATAATACGGCAAATTAATGTTGGAATGCTTACATGGTTGTATTTTTGATAAAGTTCACCTATATAAATGGACGTGATGCCGCTTCTAGGAGCGGAAGCTTGACTCTAAAGACATTTATGAATATATAGGATAGATGGTCATTGAAATGGTGTCAAAGCATTGCTAAATTACGCTTTAGTGAGGATTTGAAATCTAAAGTGTGGTATGGTGCATAATTAGTCATTTAAGTTAGTTGGTTCAAAAATCTAAGATATACCAATTTCAATTTGACTAACTCAACAATACTATATTGCTAATGAAATGATTTTAAATCATAATATATTATCTTTACTTATGTATTAGATTTTCAGAAGTATTAGAACTTAGCCCTATTTTAAAATAAGTGGGAAAATATTAGAAATATTTTCACAATAATGAAAATATGATTAAGCAAGAAACTTAATCAAAGAGAAATTATGTTGTACTAAAATATAACTTAAGAAAAGTTCTTACGGTTAAATTGATGTGATTCAATTATAGAAAAAAGTCAAATCAAAAGATTATTTTATATGAAAAATTGTAATGTTTAGAAATGTGAATAATGATTTCTTTTTGTATGAAAAGTTTAACTATTCAAATGAACAAATATATCCGTAATTTTTCAAAGAGACATAATTCTAACTAAAAAAAAGTGATATTTGATTGACACAATACAATCAAAGAGTCATAATTAAATGTCTACAAATAGAGATTGATGTAGGTTCATATGAAATACAATTCAATTCTAAGTTATACCTTTCTTTCTCCCAACTTTCTCTGAGAAGGCTAGTTGCTTTAGCATTATTTGCTATAGAAAATCTTATTGAAGACAAGATATTTTCATTTCTCACTATGGAGTGTTTAGTGGTTTAGTTTTTCTAGTGCAAATTAAACTAAACTTAGGCTTTATTATATCTTGAAGGCTATTCGATTCAACTTGTCTTGCATATTATAATTGTTAGGGATGAAATAAGCTTTAAGGAAAGTATCAATTACATCACTCCTTGAAGCCATTTTCGTTTGTGATTGAGGGTTCAATTGCAACACAAGAGGATTAGTAGAAAACTAAAACAAATATCACATCAAGTTTGAATTATTTGGTGTTCTTAGCCTTTTGGTTTTTTTCTAAAATTATAAACTAGGCTTAACCTTTGGCAATAAAATTCTAATCAAATTGTGAAATAGTGGCCTATTTGGATGGACGATGAGGTTTGCACCATAATCAATTTTTTCTTTTTAATTAGACCCTCTTTTTAAACATTGTAAGTGCTTAAATTTTAATTCATTGTAGTCATAAAATTTTCAACTTAAGTACATCTAAAATTTAATTTTGAAATCAGGTACATAGAATTCATATTCTTTAAACCATTTAACAAACTAATAACTAAAAGGAGCATTCAATATGCTTTTGTTTTAGTCATATGTTGGACAATGGAAAAAGGATATTGTATAAATTTGTCTTATTATTTGTTACCAAATATACATTTCATTCAAATTTTGATATAAATGGACATTTTTATGAACGATAACTTAATTTTTAGATAAAAAAAATTGCATGCTTTTTATTCATAATTTTAGTAGATTTGATAATTTTAAATACTATTGGGTGACATGACATAAAAATTATATGAATAAGACACAAAAACAATATGATTTAAAGTTTTAGCAATAATTGTATCTGGGTTTAATAAAAACTAAAAAATATGTTTGTATTTATTCTTTCGATATGAATTTGATATAATAATTCTCTATATGTTATACATGCTTGACACGACATGAATACAAGTATGATACAGATACATGAATTTGGCAAATCAATTTTTTTGTCATGTTTAATTCATTATGAACTTTTGATTAAAACAGAATGAAAGAAAAAAATAAAAATAAAAATATATCTTAAAAAAATAAAGATGCATTTTTCTCTTATAAGAAAGAAGTATAATATTTCAAAACACTTTTATTTAAATAAATTTCTTGAGTAAAAGGCAAAATTAAATAGAAGAACATTAATTCTATAAAAAAATGAATAATAAGTCTTATAAATTAAAAAAAAAAAGAAAACTTACTGTGTAGTTGTTATTAGGACTCTGGTTCACTCCAAAAAGCCATGATCTCTTGAAAAAGCACTTGAAAAGTTGATTGTCTTCAAGTCAGCCAAACCTTAATATATATAAAACTTCTAAAAAAAAAATTGTAAAAAGGATAACAATTCTTTGGTTTGGGTAAAAACATTTACATTAAAGCTTTTTTTTTTTTTTTTTCGATACATGGAAAAGGCATTTGAAAGTAATTAATATGAAGAGAACTTTGAGGTTTCCTCAATTTTACAATTCCTCAAAACACTAAACTAAAAACAAAATCAACTTTGATTTATTTCTATGTGGAATATCCCTAAATCGACTAGAAATAAGAAATGTTCAAGATATATATTTTTTTGAAAGTTTACTATTAATTATGTACTTTAATTGTTTACCTAATTTTGTTATGAATATGGTTCTGATTTTTTTTTGTACATTAATTGCTTTAGGTATAATATTTACTTTTTAAAAAATTGCCA